ACCAGATCGCCGTCGACGTCGACCGCGCCGAGCTCTTCTGCGCCGCCTGCGGGGACCAGGTCTACGACCCGGACTTCGACCACGCCGTCGTCCTCGCCCAGTCCACCGCGCTCCAGCCCCCGTCCACCTCTGCATCCGCATCCACATCCCCCGCCGCCCCACGCAAGCGCCGACGCGTCGACTACCGCGCCTGGGCGCCAGATCCGGCCGAGGTCGCGCTCGTGCGATCCGCCGATCCCACCACCTCCGCGTCCGCCGCCGGGCCGGCGGGCCTGCGCGGGCTCAACAACCTCGGCAACACCTGCTTCATGAACTCCGTGCTGCAGGCACTCCTCCACGCGCCGCCGCTCCGGAACTACTTCCTTGGGGATCGCCACAACCGCTTCCTCTGCCCGCGCCGCACGCCGATGAGGCACCGTACTACGGATGCTGAGGTCAAGGCCGCGTGCCTCGCGTGCGATCTCGACGAGATCTACTCAGCCACCTTCTCGGGGGAGCGCACGCCATACAGCCCCGCCAAGTTCCTCTATAGGTTCGGATCTCGCGCTCTATTTGCATTGTTTTGATGTCACAGTGTGTTTTTTAGCAACGTGTTCTTTTGTATTGGGGAAGTTAAGCCGTTAGTTAGATGACTGTTTGAAGTACTTTTGAGACACTAGTTTGGAAAGTCTCCTGCAAATGGTAGTGCAATGTTTGTATGCTATGCCATGGAGCTGTTTGAAGTTAGATCACACAGATTGCATGTGTACTTAACATGAATAGAATGATGTTACCAAAGATATGTAGCTAAAAGGGACAAACTCTGCTCAGTGTGTATTGCCACGGAAGGAAAATGGCTGCACAGCATGCATATGGCCTGTTTGATGAAATGCCCTCGTATATAGAGCATATATAGCAATGCCTTCTTATGATTATGCAAGTACTTTTGTCATGCCTACCTAATAAATGCCTGCTGAACTGTAATTATTGGTCAGGTGATAAAATGCATGAGCAACTGTTAGTTCCTGTCAAGTCACTTGTTTGACTGGTTGTGAAGGTAGCATGCACACTCTCTATTGCTGTATTCTTTAGAATTTTCCTTCGTTTAAGTGTATGCTTTTGGGTAGGCAAGTATGCAGCATTTGTGGTAGGTTCCTAAATTATTGCTAGTCTTGTTTATACTTCTTCATGTCCTGTCAAAAGTCCTCGGGAACAAACTGTTTATACCTTTGCTCCTCACATCTTTCGTGTGCTATGTCCTAAGGCATCTTCTTAAGCTGAAGTTATATTTTTCAGTCAGTAATTCATGTTTGTAAGGATTATATGAAGTCTTTGTTGCTGCTGATATTGTTTGATGAACATGGGCTTGCACAGGAAATATGACGCACTATTTGTTTCTTCTGGTTTATGAAAGAAAGTACTTGATTTTCTTCTGATTACTATCGTTCTGGATTCTTAGCTGGTGGCAGCATGCAACAAACCTTGCAAGCTACGAGCAACAGGACGCACATGAATTTTTTATCTCCATCCTTGACCATATTCATGAAAATATAAAGGATGATCAGCACAAATCACATGAACAAGGTAGTTAGCTTCTCTCTTTCTACTATTTGAATTAAACACTCGCATCCAAAGTTTTGCAAAATTGCTCTAAAGATAATCACATATTGGGGACATCCTTTCCTGTTTGAGATCTGCCTTTTATGAGTTGCACGATGTACTTGTTCTTAGTTGTTTGTCATACTTTTCTTCAGATGGGCAGGAAACAAAAGAAGTGGGAAAAGACTAATCATCTTCCTGTACTTGTCTTTTTTTGTTGGCGATGATCTGCTTTACTTGTCATGCTTTTTATATGCTGGACTATTATTTATCTTGATAAAAATATTCCTCGGGGAGAAAGAAGAGTTGTTATGTAGTTTATTCTTTACTTTTCTTGTATTCTCTTTGCACACTGGACTGTGATTTATCTTTACAAAAATATCGAGTCAACATTTTTTGTCTAACCTTGATTTCTATTTTTTTTGCTCATAATAGGTGATGGAGACTGTTGCATTGCACACCGGGTGTTTTCTGGTATCCTGAGATCAGATGTCACCTGCACAAATTGTGGGTTCTCATCCACAACGTTTGAACCTTGCATGGACATCTCTTTAGACTTGGACTCTGGACATAACAATTATCTCGGTGTTGCAAACCCAAAGCCGCATGCGCGCAACGGAGAAAGAAGCGTAGCCGGCATGAGCTCTAAGGTATCGACACTCATGAGATGTTTGGAGCGGTTTACCAGGGCTGAGAGGCTAGACGCTGAACAGAAGTACTTCTGTGAACGTTGCAAGGAGAGGCAAGAGTCCCTGAAGCAAATGTCCATTCGGAGGCTCCCATTAGTTTCCTGCTTTCACATCAAGAGATTTGAGCATTCGACAGTTAAGAAGATGTCAAGGAAGGTTGACCACTCGTTGCAGTTCCCCTTTTCTCTTGACATGACACCTTACCTGTCGTCCTCCATCCTCAGAAGTAGGTACGGAAACCGCATATTTCCATCAGAAGCCTGTGATCCAGATGCAGTTTCTGAATTGCCTTCAGAATTTGAAATATTTGCGGTGATCACACACAGTGGTAAGCTAGACGCTGGCCACTACGTGACGTATCTGAGGTTAAATAATCAGTGGTACAGATGTGATGATGCATGGGTAACCAGAGTTGATGAGCATACTGTCAGAAGTTCTCAGGCTTATATGCTCTTCTATGTTCAGAAGACGCTTTATTACAAAGCTTGTGAAAGAGCAGCTGCGGAATGAATGGTTTGGAAGCAAATGTTGAGGGCCTTGTTCTTCAGCACCAGGAAATGCAGTCATCATCTGGTGCAACATATCGGAGTCACCAAGGCGGATGGTCAAGTTTTTGTGTTCTTATTGACCTGTAGATTCAGTCGGAGGTATTTTGTGGCGATTTTTCAACAGCCAGCCACCCAAAAGGAAGATGATTGCGTTTATGTGTTGGATTATCTTGTTATCCTGGTCGCTGGATTTCTTGTGCGTGGCCTTCGCTAAACTGAAGGCACTTCAGTAATTAGTTCATATCATTGGTGGTGATGGTGATGGTGGTCCGATGAAGTGTGATATGTAGAAGTGAGACAAAAGGGAACCAAACTTTTTGACGCGTTCCTTTCAGTAATTGAATGTCATCTCTACTGAAGCTGGTCTTGCTTGGTCCTTTGTTCCTTTATTAGATGATTCAATTTGTTCTTCCTTGTACTCCACTGATAAACTGAGATATATTGCTCCCTCTGTAAACTAATATACCCTTTAGATCACTACTTTACTGATCTATAAATGGTCTTATATAACTGAAGTATAGTGATCTAAACGGTCTTATATTAGTTTACACAGAGAGTAGATGAGATGGTGGTTGCCCTTTCGTGTGTCTTGGCTCTGTTTTGGGGGTTCTTTCAACTGTGCATTTCGCAAGTTAAGTAAGCAGGTTGTGCTGACACGAAAACTTACAGAATAAGCTCGGCGAGTCTGCTATGCTTGTTGAAGTGCCGTAGCCTCTGGGGACCTGACCATTGAGCGTGACGCCATTGATGATTGCTTCGAGAGCATATCATTGAGGTTTGAGCAATGAAAAAAAAAGCATATCCCTGAAAATATGCTATTAGTGAGATATTGGACACTGATCAATTTAGCAGCGTAGCGTGCTATTTTTTTCAGTGGGTTTGAGTAGTGTGGTGGTACCCTACCACGCGTACACAAACAGCGTGTGCGCTGTGGCCACTCGTTTCTCTCCCAGTCCCAGGCGCAGCATCCATATCACGTCAACTCTATCGTCCAGAAGCTCTTCTCCCTAGCTAGGTCAACGCCGCCCCCATGGAAGGAGGAGGCGCCACCAGCTCATCACACAAAAGGTACTAACAAGCTTCTTCAATCCAGCTCGTTTGCTCGTGCTGGATGTACGCCTAACGCGTCTGCTCTCCGATCCCCAGGGTCGCCCTGGTGACCGGAGCCAACAGAGGGATCGGGCTGGAGGTGTGCCGGCAGCTCGCGTCCGGCGGCGCGACGGTCGTCCTCACGGCCAGGGACGAGAAGCGGGGCGCCGTGGCGGTCGACGCGCTCCGGGAGCTCGGGCTGCCGGACGTCGTGTTCCACAAGCTGGACGTCGGCGAGCCGTCGAGCGCCGCTCGTCTGGCCGACTTCGTCAGGGATAGGTTTGGCAGGCTGGACGTGCTGGTACGGCTTGGTTTTTCCTTTCCGGTTTCCACCTTGTCCGACTGGATTCTCAGATGTATTGTGACTTGTGAGTGCCTCGTGCTTTTGCCTTTGCAGGTCAATAACGCGGGAGTCTCCGGGGTGAGAATGGACATCGGAGACCCGGCAGCTCTTCACCAAGTGGTTAGCTTAGCTTAGCCCTTCTTCTTTCTCAGCCATGCTAATTAATTAAATTACATTTGATACAAATCAATCACTTTGCAAATAACTGTTTATGGGATTATCGAAATGTTTCGAACAAAGTATGCAAATGACTAGTGTCGATTCCAAAAGTTAGTGCTACAATTGGAACATCAACGCATGATCGTGGTAACTACAAAAGCACACCAATCCACCAAGTTACTTGAGTAGACAAAAATAAACCGGGGAAGCTGAAGCGGAAAATGCAATTCTCGGGTGAGGGAACCGGGGAAGCTCCAAGAAGGCTTCGCTCACTCACTCAAAATGCTAGAATCTCTCTTACATACATACACTACTTAACAAGAACATGAGGTCCTTCGTTGAACCTCCCATTTTTCACATTTTTCTCTTCAAATATCTTAATTGTCCCTTGTTTTATTGACTTACCAAATAAAATCTTGTTTATCTGGTAAGCCAATAAGTGATTATTTGAAAATAAATTCATGTCTAATTGTCCAATGTTTTTAACTTAGCGGATAAAAGTCTGTTAGTAGAATATTTATGCCCTGTTGCAACACATGGATAATTATTTATCACAAATAAAACATGTCTTTACAACTAAAAGTGCTTTTCCAGAGTATTTATCATTTTTGCGGGGGGCTTAGTATTTATCATTGTACATGATGATACAAAGTAAACGTGACATATACACATTCAGAAGACCATACCAAATATCCGAACAAAATGGATAGAGTAATTCTTTCTTTTTTGAGTGGAAATGGATAGAGTAATTCACATTACCCCATTAGTTGAAAGGAACATGTCTCGTTCCTGCCACTATAGGTGAAGAGAAAAATTCTTGATTTGCACCTTAAAAGATGCCATTTTCTACCAAACTAATGCCTTTCAGAATACTACTAATGGAGAATTCTTGATTTGCTCCTACATCATTGACAGCGTACAAGTATGAGTGCAGTGGAGAGGCTCGAGTGGTTCAACCAGAGGACGACAGAGCCTTTCGAGGAGGCAGAAGAATGCCTAAGAACAAACTACCACGGCACAAAAAATGTGACGGAGGCGCTGCTTCCTCTGCTTCTGTCCTCCTCTGATGCAAGAGTTGTTAACGTCTCCTCTTCTTATGGGTTACTAAGGGTAATCTCTCCAATCTAAAATGAGTATCATGGGATATCTCATGAACTAATTTGCATTTTCGGAACTAGTTTTTCAGTGGAGAAGAACTTAAACACGAGCTTAACGACATCGACAACCTATCCACAGAGAGGTTGGACGAATTGTCAGGACTGTTTCTCAAGGACTTCAAGAATGGCCGGCTGGATCACCATGGATGGCCAGTCGGAGGGTTCTCGGCCTACAAAGTGTCAAAGGCCCTGATCAATGCTTACACAAGAGTTCTCGCCAAGAAGCACACATCGATGCGCGTTAATTGTTTAGATCCTGGCTATGTTAAGACAGACATCAATTTCCACACCGGGGTTCTGACCGTGGAGGAAGGCGCGAGAGGCCCCGTGATGCTGGCACACGTGCCGAAGGATGGGCCGACGGGAGCCTACTTCAACGGCACAGAACAAGCATCCTTCGTGTAGCGGTTGTATTTTTCTTGTGCTCCGGATGTTGTCCGTAACTTGTACCCTGGTCAACCACGGATATATTTTCTTAAGATAAACGTCATGGTGGTATTACTTCGTGCTACACGTGTGACAGTTATCATTTGAAAAATGAAAAGGCTCGTGAGATCCGATCCAGTCAATTCCATGCGTTGGAGTAGTAGTTTTGGAGTGTGCGGAAATAGTTTTGATATTATTTTGTGCATCAGAAATATCTAAAATGACAACTCTGCTGTAAATTCCCAGTTATAGTCCCCCCCCCCCCCTTGTGCTTTCGCTTCATTTTTGGGTTACTTTCGACGGTGGATTCCCAGTTAAGTAAATAGGGCGTGCCGATACAAATTTTCATAGAATAAGCTTGGTGACATCTGGTAATATCGCTGAAGTGTTGTAGGTGTTGCATTCCCTTTTTGCAAGCTTCACGGTAGTGCCTCTCTTCTAGACCATGGTCGCTTGGGGCGTGAGAGTGCTAGAGTTCAGTAACAAACTGACCAACACATGAAGGGCTTTGTATCTCAGAAGAGAAGAAGTACGAACTGCAACAACAATATGTGGACCTCCGGTTCTCAATGACTTGACGTCGATTCAAAAATGCAGTGAATGTCGCCATCGTTTCCAGTACGACGAGGGGGACGCTGCATGGCCCGTTCCATTTCACGGGATCGGTTGTGTCTTCCCTTAACCATTTTTTGTTGTTGTTTCTGTGTTTTCTTTCTTTTTGGTTTTTATGTTTTTTACTTTTGGTCTTTTCCTTTCCTTTTCTATTTTTTCAAATTTGCTAAAACAATAAGGTCAGCGATATTTTCTGTAATTCATGAAAAGTTTTCAAATTCAGGGATCATTTTTCGTAACACCAGAATAATTTTTTTAGGTACAGGATTTTTTTCCAAACATGTGAACATTTTTAAAAATACGGAAACATTTTCAAATTCGTGATTTTTTTTTGAAATATGGGAAAATTTCAAGTCCGTAAAAATATTGAAATATCGAAAATAGTCAAATTCGTGAGAATTCTTGAAATAATGGAACAATTTTCAAACTCATGACCATTTTTTAACAATTTACAAATTCATGCGTTTTATGAAATACAGGAACAAATTCCAGATTTGTGACCAAGTTTAGAAATATGTGAACAATTTTCAAATTCATGAATATTTTTTTTCTAATTCATGAATATTTTTTTTCAAATTCTGGAAAAAAATGTTTTTGGATCTTAAAATTATAAATATCAAAAAGGAAAGTGGAAAGAAAAATAACAAAAAGGAAGATTTAGAAGGTACGTGGAAAGAGTTTTGATCTATTCATCAACTATCAAGTTAGTACAAAGAACACTAGAAATAAAAATTATATCCGGATCCGTAGACCATCTAACGAAGACTGCAAGCACTGGAGTGAGCTGAAGGCGCGCCGCCGTCATCACCCCTCCCTCACCGAAGCCGGCCAAACCTTGTTGTAGTAGACACTAGAGGACGAGCACACTAGAACAGTAACCGCCGCCGATGAAGAGAAGTGTAAATTGGAAGGATCCAATATATAGACACACGAACACAGACAAACGAAGACCGGATCCACATGGATCCACCGAAGACAAACACCGACTGAATCCCGCGAGATCCGCCGAAGAAAAACCTCCACACACACTCTGACGCCGCTAGAAGTATCACTGTGATGGGGGCTGAGCGGGGAGAAACTTATTCCTTCTTCAGAGAGCCACCACGCCACCATGGCCCTAAGGCCAGAGGAGACGAGGCAGGCGGATGGCAGCATCGACAGGGGGCACTAGAACCTTAGCCGCCGATGTCCTCCTTACAAACAAAGGGGTACTATGTGCAAAAGTTGTTTCGATTTTCATTTTACGCATCTGAAATATCTAAAATTATAACTTTGTTGTAAATTCCAAGATATAGTTTCCTCCCTTTTGTGCTTTCTCTATTTTTGGGTTTCTTTCGACTATACATTCTTAAGTAAACAAGGTGTGCAAATACAGAAGTACTCCCTCCGTAAACTAATATAAGAGCATTTAGATCACTATTTTAGTTATCTAAACACTCTTATATTAGTTTACAGAGGGAGTAATTAACATGTGTTATTATGGGGGAATCTCCCCTTGTCTAACCGCAGGCAGTTGCCTTCTTGGCAACCATCGCGTCGGTTTTCTCCTTCTCCGAACAGATGCCTCTCGTGATCGACCACATCGGTTGCTACCATTATAAATACCTTAATCATCTAATGAAAAGGACAACCAGATTGATTACTATTCATTTGCCTTTGTTTTCACATGCTGAGTTCCAACAAAAAGTTCACAGAATAAGCTTGGTAATATCGTTGAAGTGCTTTGCATTCCTTTTTTCAAGCTTCACGGTAGTGCCTCTCTTCTAGACCATGGTCGCTGGGGACGTGACAGTGCTAGACTTCGGTAACAAAATGATCAGCACAGCAAGGGCTTTGTATCTCAGAAGAGAAGAAGAACGAACACAAACTGATCAACACTAGCTGTGCTTTTTTTTTTGAGAAACTCACGGGGTGTGCTCGGGAATCCTATTATGGGACGCTGTATGGGCCGGCCCATTTTACGGGATCAGTTGTGTCTTTCTCCCACCGGTTTTGGGAAGGTTCTAGAACATTCTCTGAACCTTTTTTTTTCGTTTTCCTGTGTTTCCTTTTCTTTTGGGGTTTTTCCCTTTTCTGTGTTTCTCCCACCGGGTTGTCTTTCTTTTTACGGGATCTGTTGTGTCTTTCTCCCATCGGTTTTCGGAAGGCTCTAGAACCTTCTCTTAATCTACTTTTTTTTGTTTTTTCTGTGTTTCCTTTTCTTTTTGGTCTATTTTTTTCTTTTCTATTTTTTAAAATTTGCTAAACAATAGAATTTGTGTATATTTTTTGAAAATCATGAACATTTTTCAAATTCGGGGATCATTTTGCGAATTTGAGATAAATTTTGGTACTATAGGAACTATTTTTAAAATGATGAACATTTTTTGACATACGGAGACAATTTTTTATTTTTGTGTTTTTTTAAATATGAGAACAATTTTCAAATTCGTTCATATTTTTTCAAATACTGGAACAATTATCAAATCCATGAATATCATTTTGAATTTTGGAACATTTTTTAAATATAGGGAAAATCATATTCGTGAACGTTTTTAGAAATAAGTGAACCATTTTCAAATTCATGAACATTTTTTGAAACACAAGAATGATTTTAAAATTCATGAGAATTTTATGAAATACGGGACCAAGTTCCATATTCAAGAATATTTTTTGAAATACAAGAACAATTTTCAAATTCCGGACATTTTGAATACGTTTCTAATTTGGGAATATTTTTGGAAATTCTGACTATTTTTTCAAATTCCCGGAAAAATTGTTCTTTGGATTCGTGAACATTTTACAAACATAAAAAAGGGAAACAGAAAGAAAAACGCAAAAAAACACAGACATGATCTGCCGAGACTACAGAACAACACACGTGCAACCAACACGGAAAGGCTCACGAGATCGGATCCGATCAATCCCTGTGGTGTGCATATACTAAATTTGTCTCTCAGCTTCCATACACGTTTCATAGACTCGTATCTCACGTGCCACTAGTAGAACGCCCGTGCGTTGCAACGGGCTATAGTGCATATAAATGATTCAAATAAATAATTAAGATTGTCTTCAAGGTTAAACCTCATTTCTCTCTCGGCGTTACGGGCTACAATGCATATAAATGATTCAAATAAGTAATTAAGATTGTCTTTAAGGTTGAACCTCATTTCTCCCTCTTGTCTGGGCATGTTCGGACATCAAACGGGTGCTCAACACTCTTCCCAAAATCAAACCGTCTAGATAGTCCAGACTCCCCCAAAACCATTCCATTTATGGTGTAGAAATTTGGTTGCCCAGATTATTCACCATACTATTTCCAACACACGGTCCAAGAAAAACACCACCCCACGCCAACCCTTATTTTTTTGCCGAACCCTCCCCTTCCCGCTCTGTTTCCCGTCGTAGTGGGACATTTCTCATTAGATCCCTCTTCTTTAAAACTGGATGATGCCCACCTCACCTTTGCCATGGCGCCATCTTTCCTTCACACCGTACTTTCTCACGAACCGCCAAGGAGGAGTCCCCTTCCAATCATCCCGCTCTACTCCTTGATCCCCTCTCACCGAGTTCGTGTTCATCCTCCACCACCATCGGGGCACAAGGCATGCGCCGCCCATGACACCTCCCAAGCCAACAAGGCAGACCTGATGTCTCCTGGGCCATTGTCACGTTGTAACATACAGTTGAATATCTTGCATTACCACGAAGCAAAAATTTGATGTTCGTTGTTGGGCATGCAACTGATACATCAACGTGTCCGTTATTAACTCTTAAAGCAACCAACCAATGCATTTACCCTTCTATCCTAACCAAAAAAATGGCATGACTTGATGAAAAAGAATATGAACCGCCTGCTCATGCAATTTACCGTGAAGCCATCTCTAATGAAATGCAATTTGTCACATTTTCTAAAGTAGGGAAATTATTTCGCTTAGACAACCGTAACTGAACAGACAAACCCCAATCTCCATCCCGCTCACTTTGAACCCTTACTTTTATCACTATATCCACTAACTCGTGTTCTAAGTGAGCTAGTGATCAACACCGCCATGGCAGGCCAGCAACAAAAAACAAGGGCGGCAACCGCCTTCCTATCTTAGTGATAGTACCTCCTGGTTCCATACTGGACCCACCCTTCATGTCGGGCTCTAGCACGTCGTCGTCACGCTCATACATTGCTACGTAAAAGTAAAGCTATGAACAAAAATGTTCAACCAAAGCACTTAAGAGATAAACCTAAAACTGCTTTTAGGTCACCAAATTTACCAATTATATGCTCCAATAAAGGAAATGAAAGAGAGGGCATATCAAGTTGGAACCTTGAGTACAAATTTATTATCCTCACTTTCTATCCGATATACCTAAAACTGCTTTTAGGTCACTAA